ACCCTGTGTGCTTTCCACTTGTCGCTGTCACAGTGCCCAGGCAAGTGGCACTCTGTGGAGTTGTGCCAGAGGCCCCAGAAGCCACCACGCACAACCCCTGCCTCCATTTCTTTTGAGTTCATTTGGTTCTTTCTCCTTGCTGTCCTGAACCAGACTAGGTCCTGCTCCACTTAACCCTTTTCATTTCTATACTCTGTAACACCCCTGCCTCCTCCTTGGTGGTCATGACATTCTGCTCATGGCCTACAGACACCCCCAGCATTGTGAGGAATGTGGCCATGAGCTTTCATTCTTGCCCCACACAACTCTCCTTCTTACCCCTCCTTCCTTGTCATCTTCTCACCACTGCCTCTTCCTGGTCTGGGTAGAAGTGGCATCCTCGTGTGGAGTTGCTTAACCAGACATTAGTCAGCCCAGCACGGGATCAGCTGAAGTGAGGTGACAAAGATCCAGCCCATGAGGGGCCCAGGCAGCTGCTGAGCCTGGCTTCTCCTGGCTTTGGCCTGGATGAAAACAGAAGGTGAACAGGGGTACTGAGGGAACCGGGTCACTTGTGTAGGTGAGACATAGAGATGTATTTGTGTGTGTTGTGTGGTGAATATAAGAGCTCTGAAAATAGTCATCATTTATGTATCACCTGCTGTGATCTTTTCACACTGCCTACACATGACTTCACATGTGTAGGGGTTTTTTTGTTTGTTTGGTTGGTTTTTTTTTTTGAAGGCGAATGTATTTTTAAAGTCTTTGTACTTTAGGAGGCTTCCTTAAACAGAGAGCATTAGGAGACTACTGTGAGCAGTATTTCCCAGAAGGAGGATGAGGGTAAACAGCAGCTGGCCACAGCTGGACCCAGGTGCTTTGTTTCCTTCCGTAACCTCCTCCCTAAAGCCACCACAAGCAAATGTGCAGTTTAAAATGGTGAGCCCTCAGGCTGGGCAACATAGTGAGACCCTCCGTCTCTACAAAAAAAGGCCTCCCAACGTACTGCTATTACAGGTGTGAGTCACTGAGCCCGGCCTGAAATAATTTTATCAGCACTTTGGGAGGCCAAGGCAGGCAGATCGTGACGTCAGGAGTTTGAGACCAGCCTGGCCAACACAGTGAAACCATGTCTCTACTAAAAATACAAAAATTAGCCGGGTGTGGTGGCATGCGCCTATAATCGCAGCTACTCAGGAGGCTGAGGTGGGAGAATTACTTCAACCCAGGAGGCAGAGGTTACAGTAAGCCCAGATTGCACCATTACACTCCAGCCTGGACGACAGAGCGAGACTCCATCTGAGAAAAGAAAATTAACAATAATAATGATTTTGTATGAAAAGCTTTAAATTTCAAGTTATTTCTCTAGGACATATTCCTAACATAGGACTTCTCAGCTCTCACTGCAACCTCCGCCTCCCGGATTCAAGCAATTCTCCTGCCTCAGCCTTCCAAGTAGCTGGGACTACAGGTGTGTGCCCCCATACCCGGCTAATTTTTTGTATATGTAGTAGAGGCGGGGTTTCACCGTGTTAGCCAGCATGGTCTCGATCTCCTGACCTCGTGATTCACCTGTCTCAGCCTCTCAAAGTGCTGGGATTACAGATGAGAGCCACTACTTCCGGCCCCCAATATAGGATTCTTATGTCAGAAGCTACATCTGTTTCATGGTGTGGAATACATAGGGTGTTGTTGTTGTTGTTGTTGTTTTGAGACAGAGTCTTGTTCTGTCACCCAGGCTGGAGTGCAGTGGCGCGATCTTGACTTACTGCAACCTCCGCCTCCCAGTTTCAATTGATTCTCCTCTCTCAGTCTCCTGAGTAGCCAGGATTATAGACGTGCACCACCACATCCACCTAACTTTTGTTTTTTTTGTTTTGTTTTTTGTTTTTGTTTTGAGACTGAGTCTCGCTTTGTCACCCAGGTTGGAGTGCAGTCACACAGTAGCAGCTCACTACAACCTCCGCCTCCTGGATTCAAGAATTCTGCTGTCTCAGCCTTCTGAGTAGCTGGGACTACAGGCACCTGCCACTACACCCAGCTAATTTTTGTATTTTTTGTAGGGATGGGGTTTCACCATTTTGGTCAGGCTGATCTCAAACTCTTGGCCTCAGGGAATTCACCTACCTTGGCCTCACAAAGTTCTGGGATTACAGGCATGAGCCACTGCGCCCCACCTAACTTTTGTGTTTTTCATAGACTTGGTTTCACCGTGTTAGGCAGGCTAGTCTTTAGCTCCTGACTTCAAATGATCTACCTGTCTCAGCGTCCCAAAGTGCTCGGATTACAGGCGTGAGCCACTATCCCTGGCTCATTCTTTTTTTGCTGGTAATTTTCCTGATGGGTAAAGTGAGCGGTTTGGCCTTGAATCTGGATTCTGCTAATTACATCCTCATGGTTTTAGTTAACATATTTCTTCGTCCCTCAATTTTCTTTAAATGTATTTAGGTTTGTTTTTTTGCCCACATGCTAGCATAACATGTAAGTAGGTAGTGAGGTTTATTCTGTAAGAAATAACATTCATGTCTCATTCTTCAATTGTCTCATTTTTTGTGATGTTGGCAATTCCTGGACCTGTCGGTTCAGTAGGCATGCATGGTAAGACTCTAATTCTAGTATTACTTCTTCATTTACTAGCTGGAATACATCTGTAAAGTGAAACTGCCCTTAACCATTCTTTAATTGCCACCTAGACAAGAGGTCAAGAGAAACAGGCTTCAAATACGGAACACTGTCAAGAAATCTGTGGCACTGGCCAATGCAGTGGCTCACAGTTGTATCCCAGCACTTTGGGAGGCCAAGGCAGGTAGATTGCTTCAGCCCAGAAATTCAAGACCAGCCTGGGCAACATGGCAAAACCCTGTCTCTACAAAAAATACAAAAATTGGCTGATCATGGTGGCATGTGCCTGTAGTCTCAGCCACTTGAGGGGCTGAGGCAGGAGTATCACTTGAGCCTGGGGTCAAGGTTGAGGCTGCAGTGAGCTGAGATTATGCCACTGGACTCCACCCTGGGCGATAGAGTGAGACCCTGTCTCAAAACCAAAAGAAATGTGTGGCTCTCCATCTTGGTAAGGGCCTAGGCCTTGGAGAGTGACTCTGTTAACTTCTTGCAGGTGCTGTTGGGGTTACAGTGCAAGATGAGCTTGTCACCACTGCGTCAAGACCCATGTTGGGTTGCTTTAAGCAACTACCAGATCTTTGGTTGTAAAGTACCTTTCCTTATGCCCCCTCTCATGAGGGATAAGGATAGGGAGATGTTTGGATGAGGCCTTCATGGTCCCTCTTCTTGAATTGGCCATTTCTCCCCCTAACAAATAACAAGATATCTTGTTGTAAACCCAGATAAAGCACTTACAATGGTGTGACCAGCAGCTCTGTAGCTGCAGGGCTCAATTTGCCATCAGCTCATGCTTAGAAGGAGGTATCTGTGCTGTATCCTAAACTTCCATTTTGGAGATACCTGTAAATATCTGTATAATGAGGAGAAAAGAAAAAAATTTATGTCTAGGGAAAATTGCAGACTTTTTGAAAAGATGAGACAAGGTAGAGGCTGTGTGTTTTCACAGTAGTAACTACTCTTTATGTGATTATCAGACACCTGAAGCAATCACAGTACAGTTCCTGGTGGTGTCCCTTCAAGAGATGATGTGAGGAAGGGACGGATTGAAGCGAAAGCTATGCAAGGCTGTATGGAAAGGACCCTTTGAACGGGGCATTGGAGGATGGGGAAGAAAACATCATCATGGGCTTGCCGGGTTAGGCATGAGCTGAGTTTTAGAGGCAAGAGTGAGAATGGCTCTGGCAAGCTAGTAATTATGGGTAGTTATTCTGTGCCAGGCCTTGGTCTGTGGGTGCAAATACAAAAATACAGGTGGCATTATATCTGTCCTATGGGAACATGGTGAAGACCATATTTCCTGACACCAGAGAAAGGAAGACAGGGCTCGGGAAGGCTGTTCACCCTTTAACAGATTGTGGTGGAACCCACCAGAACAGTGCGATGCTCTGTGGAGTTGACGTGTTGGAATCCAGGCTCTCCTGTAGTACCTACCGAAGGACAGCAGGGCCACTCACAGGAATGCTGGAATCCCCATCCAGCAACCCAGAGGGCACGCGTGGCTGTAGACTTAAAGATGCACCGTCTTTAAATGCAAATATTTGTATTTTTAGTAGACATAGGGTTTCACTGTGTTGGCCAGGCTGGCCTCGAATTCCTGGCCACAAGTGATATTCCTGCCTCGGCCTTTCAAAGTGCTGGGATTGCAGGCGTGATCCACTGCACCTGGCTGGGAAAATTGTTATAACATGGATTAAGCAGGAACACTAGATACACACACACACACACACACACGCATGCACGCAGGCGCGCGCACGCATACGCAAATGCATTGAAAAGGACTGGAAGTAAATACGTTATTCCAGGTTTTTCTGGGTAAGGAGTTGATGGGTAGGGTTTTGAGATGGAACAAAGGGGATGTTTCATGGGAGCCTTGTTGGTGTCGGACAGGGTCTACACGGAAAGGCCTGTGGGACGTGGAAACGGTGAAGGCTGGGTATGGTGGCTCACACCTGCAATCCTAGCACTCTGGGAGGCTGAGGCGGGTGGATCACTGAGGTCAGAAGTTCAAGACCAGCCTGGCTAACATGGTGAAATCCTGTCTGTACTAAAAATACAAAAAATTAGCCAGGTGTGGTGGTGCATGCCTGTAATCCCAGCTACTCGGGAGGCTGAAACAGGAGAATTGCTTGAACCCAGGAGAAGGAGGTTGCAGTGAGCCAAGCTCATACCACTGTACTCCAGCCTGGTCGACAGAGCAAGACTTTGTCTAAAAAGAGCAGGGCCAGGGTGGGTTGAGGGCTGTTTTAAGTACTTAGACAGATGACCCTGTCTTTGAACAGACTGAGATGATAGCTTATTGAGGGAGAGAGAAACCCTGAACATGGAGATTTAAAAGGTAGCATGGAGTTGGCTCTGAAAATAAACCCTCTCTCTGAAGGAGTCTTTTGTGTCCTCCTCAGGTTCAGATTCAGAACAAGAAAGTGGACATCTCTAAGGTCTCCTCCAAGTGTGGGTCTAAGGCTAACATCAAGCACAAGCCTGGTGAGTGGCACCCCCGTTGCCCACTGGGACTCCTGGGGTATGTAGTCCTGCCATGGGCCAGCTGGGCAGCCCACTGGCTGGCAAGGGTTTCATCCTTGTGCCTTTAGCATCCGATGAAGACTCGTCAACACCCACCTACCCAGGACACAGCAGTGGAAACAACACAGTCCTCATTCTGTCAGGGAGCGGGAGTTCAGATGCTAACCTCTCAGTGGAGTAGGAGCAGTTTGTTACTACTGCCATCTGCACAAGCATTCTCTTAAGTACCTACTGTGTGAGTGGTACGATTGAGCTAGGCCTGGGAGAGAGGTGCACTCTGGGCTGAGAACCTGGGTTGGCTCTAAACGAGCATTACAGGAACTAATGCTGAAGGAGCTCTGTAGAGAACAGTGGTCAGGTCCCACCTGTCAGATTCAGGAGCAAAGGTTACTCCCAAGCAGTGAAGCATCAGCCTCTAGTCCTGGCAGGAGAATGGGAGGCATTCAACAAAGTTTCCTTGGCCTGCAGACGTGGATCTTGCACTTGCACTAATGCAGTCTCCTTCTAGCAACATGGCTGACCCAGCGCGCCTGTTGAAGTCTCTCTGCAGAGCCTGGGCTCTTGCCATGGGGAGTACCCTGGCAGCCTCATGTATCCTAGATCTATAGCAGATTCGTGGGTAGGGAAGGACTGCTGCAGCAGCAGGCACACTGGCCAGCAGACCTGGTGTCCCAGGTCTGCTTGGAGGCTAAGGCAGGAGAATTGCTTGAACCGGGGAGGTAGAGACTGCAGTGAGCCAAGATTGTGGCACTGCACTGCAGCCTGAGCAACAGAGTGAGACTCCGCCTGGGAAAAAAAAAAAACAAAAAAAACTCCCTTCCCTTCTCAGCAAAAGAGTGTGATCCAGTTTGGAATGGGTTCTATTTAGAAAGATCAAAACAGTTTGGTCCTTAACCATTTTTTTCCCTTTTATCTGGGAAATCTACTCCTATGAGATACTTCCTTCTCTAGTGACACTGAGTCACTTAGGGTCAAGTTTCTGCCAGGGCTGGGTCTCCAGTGTGGTATACCGGAGACCTCAGCCAGGAGTCCAGGGTTAGAGGTCTGCCCTGTGAGCTGAGAGGAGACAGAAGAACAGAAGATGCCCAGGGGGAGCCTCGCTGCTGGGCTCAGGAGGGGCTGGGTCCTCAGGGAGGGCAACTTGTCCTGCACCCGTGTCCTTGGTCTCATGGGCACACACTGGCCAGTGGGCTCTGAACTGTGGGCTTGAGTTCAGGCCACCTTCCCTCCCCGTCCCAGCCCGAGGGCACTAGATCCGGGCCTGCCTTGGTCCATGTCTTTCCTTTCTCAGCAGGGTCACTCTCTCCTTTTTACCATTCCTTCTTTTCTTTACAGTGTGATACAGTTAAGGAGCTCAGACAAATCTCTGTCAATCACAAGATTGGTGGTAATCCTGGGCAAGTCGCTTCTCTTTTGCAGCATCAGTTTTACCAGCTGTGAAGCAAGGACTGTGGCTGTGATGACAGGGCATTCATGAGAATTCAGTGAGGCCGTACCTGAGAAGCACTGCATGGCCCAGTTAGTGGGAGGGAGTTACCACACCGACTAGAGAAGCAGAGGCTTCGGCCTGGAGGCTGTGGCATGGGGTAGTGGTAGAGCTGGCGTTCCTTCTCTTGGAGGTATTCCCACTGGCTGAACGGAGAGACTGTCTCAGCCTCACTTTGATAGGAAAAGCCCTCTTTAGACAAGCATGTTCACTGTTCCTCTTCATTTGCCACCCAGAAGTGGTCACATTTTTCTCATTTCTAGATTGGGCATATTACCAGTCCTGGTTTTGCCTGCAGGGATGTTCCTCTGCCACTGTAGGTGACCAGTTCCTTTGTGGTTCCAGGTGGAGGAGATGTCAAGATTGAAAGTCAGAAATTGAACTTCAAGGAGAAGGCCCAGGCCAAGGTGGGATCCCTCGATAATGTGGGCCACCTACCTGCCGGAGGTGCCGTGAAGGTAGCGAGTGGGTCACTGGGGAGATACAGCTGGGGAGGGGTGGGGACTCTGCAGCCAGGGTCAGGGTCCTCCCAGGTAGGCACCTGTCACCGCCACTCAGTCTCTTCAGGAGTCATGTCTTCACCTACACCATTGCTGTTTTCACATTGTGCGTCATCAATCCTGACTGAGGCAGGAGAAGTGAAGAGGCCCCAGCCCAGCCTCCTCTCACCTGTAAGCTGGAGGCAGAACCTTGCTCCTGAGAGCCAGGGCCTTCCTAATTTAGCCCATCCAGCCATTTTAGAAGGCCACAGGCTGGGACGCAGACCACCACCAGGCGAGCGGAGGTTCTGCACCACACAGTTCTCCCCGCCTGCCTTGCGCAAGAGGGGACTGTTGGTTCCGTCCCATGTCAGGCTCCACCCCTGGAGCAGGACAGCACATTCTTAGCTGCCAGCGACAGCAGGCTGCCTCTGCAGGGCCCACCTGTGCAGGCCTCTGGGACCGAGTTCAAGTGGCAGAGCTTCCCATCCTTGGGACTGGCTGGGCCTCTTCTCCCTTCCCTCTCTCCTCTCTTTCCTCCCTTCCTCCTTCCACAGTACTGTGAGACCTTTTGTGTGCCAAGATGCTGTCTGTCCTTTGTTCCATGTCATCAGCGGGTAGGGGACCCGTGAGGGGCATCTTGCAGGCCCCGAGCATGAGGATGGCTGCAGCTACTGGGGTTCAGGTGTGCAGCAGAGAGGGGCCAAGAGCTGCTGCTCTGGGCCTTCCCTTCCGTCTCTGCTCCCCAGTGCCAGCCACTGCCTAGGCTGTCCCTGGTCCCATCCTCTCCTGATGCTCTGACTCACGCCCTGATCAGCTTCTAGGAACATCTGGAGGGTCCTTGCCTGCCGCAGGCTCTCAGCTCATGCCCCCCACACCTCATGAGGATGCCAGTCTCGTGCCCGTCTCAATAGGGCATTAACTTGGTTTTAGTCTCTTGTCCAAGGCCACACAGCAAGCAAATGTGAACCAGGATTCACATCTGGGGACATTTCTGACCCCGATTCTTGTGTTCTTTTCCTTATTCATATTATCTCCCTTTCCTTATGAGTTCTGGAATTATTTTTTAATCGAGGCCTACTTTTCTCACTGTGCTGATTGGAAACCACTTCTCCCTTGTCACTTCTCGGGCATTTGGTGACACAGGCTTTCCAGCTCCACAGTGGCCTCTCAGAGCTATTCTCTCTTCTCTGCCTTCCTCACACTGAGTGCTCCATGTCCCCCAAATGTCCTGTGAAGCCCTCCAGGCCCCCACAGTCTCCCTGGGTTACACCTCCCTGGACACCTTCTTTCTGCCTCCCTTGGGCCCTTGGTCCCAGAATGGTGCCTGGCACAGACGAGGCCTCAGCGCTTGCATTCCTGACCAGACAGATGGGCAGGCAGGGCTGCCCGGGAGCTTCTGAGGACCCCTCTCTGTGTGCAGGGGTGGCCTGGGTTCAGAGAGGGGCCAGGAAGGTGGGCTGCACCCCTCGTGGGGCTGCCCTTCAAGCTTGTTGCTCACTGTTACCATGGCTACTTATGTGGTGCCAGCCTGAGGCCTGGCACCTCTGCCCTCAAAGAAGCTTCATTAGAGCCTTGTGTGCCACAGGGAGGCTCTGAGAGTGTGTTGCTAGCCCAGCTGCTCCTGACCCTCAGGAGTCAGTCCCCTTGGTGGGGTGGGGTGGGGTGGGGCTGGGGCACCTGCCTGGGATTTTCCAAGTGACTGTGTCTTGAGCCAGTGGGTGCTTGGGCAGCGCGGGTGGGGGCTGTGTGTCAAACCCACCACCATCACCCCATCCCACTCCCCCCCGACTGACCCTGCACTGTCTCCCCCACTGTTTCATTGTAGACTGAGGGCGGTGGCAGCGAGGCTCCTCTGTGTCCGGGCCCCCCTGCTGGGGAGGAGCCGGCCATCTCTGAGGCAGCACCTGAAGCTGGCGCCCCCACTTCAGCCAGTGGCCTCAGTGGCCACCCCACCCTGTCAGGGGGTGGTGACCAAAGGGAGGCCCAGACCTTGGACAGCCAGATCCAGGAGACAAGTAAGTGGCTGGGCTCGGCCTAAGGGCCAGCCAGGGGCCCTGCCACTGGCCGCAAATTGAAACTCCTTTGTTTTTTGACTAGAGTATGGCCTAAATTTTAACGATGGAACTTTTTATTTTCCAGGCATCTAATGATGACATTCTGGTCTCGTCTTCCGTCTCCCCCGTTCCCCTCTTGTCTCCCTCGTTCCCCTCTCCCTTCCCTCCTCCCATGTCACTGCAGATTGAGACCTACAGGCTGACGTTCCGGGCAAACGCCAGGGCCCGCACCGACCACGGGGCCGACATTGTCTCCCGCCCCCCACACTTCCCTGGTGGCCCCAACTCAGGCTCTCGGGTCCTTGGCCCCCTTTCCCGGGCTGTCCACTAGATCAGTGAGCGCTTAGGTGCCAGGCAGCCAGCGCCAGGCAGCCCGCTAGGCTCGCCTTCCCTCCTGCTTTGCGCCCTGGGGCAGCAGCAGCCGCCCTGCCCACACCTCTCACTCCCGGCTGGGCCCAGCTCCCTGCTTTGGTCTTGTCCCATCACTGCGCCACTGCTCCACGGAGAGGTTGGGAGGGGATTGGAGTGGCTGAGGCTAAGTTGGGATCTAGGAGAGGAGAACCAGATTCTGCCCTCATCTTTGTTTGGTTCTTTTGGTCCAAACCCAAAAGAAACATGCCCTCCCTCCCTGGATCTACCTGGAGGGAAGAGTGGCGGCGGGTTCCAAGTGGTGACAGGACGCTGACCCTGGGGCTTAAGCCACTGCCTCTCCCTTTGGCCTCAAAAAGGCACCCCCCCTCCCCCGCAGGTGGTATCAGGCCCTTCTTGCTGCCCTGCCCCAAGTTAGGGGCCAGTGCTGTCCCCATGCTTAACATACCCACCTAGCTGCTGTCACATTTTTTCTTTTGTCCTTTTATTTTTTTTTTCTAATAACCTAAAAACTGGCAAAATAGTTCTGCAGGTTGAAGCCATGTCTACGTGAAAGTCCTCAGTAAGTGTTAGAGGGAACAGGGCGAGGCGATCCTTATGCTGCCCCCACTGGAGGATGTGGGCAGTTAGGGCCCTGGAGGTGGCGTGGCAGGAAGTGCAGAGGCTGTGGCTGGTGACTGGGTCAGGCACACGAGGGGCTCTTAGAGCGGTGACTCGTTGGTTGTTTTGCCATTTTGTGTGTATGCTGCTTTTCTTTTCTAACCATGAGGCTGATTTTGGCATCTCTGTCCCATTCCCTGGATCTGGTGGTGGTCAGCCCTAGGATACAAAGCCAGGGCTAGAGAACAGGAAAGGGCCCAGGAGATGGAATTCCTTCAGGCCGGCACGCGCAGCCTAGGACACGCAAGCCCTCATGTCCAGGGGAGCCTCATGCAGATAGTGGGAAATCAGGTCTGGAAATGCAAAAAGGCATGAGACTAAGGCCATCTGCTTCCCTTAATGCCCTGACTGGAGAGGGGAGGGAAGAGAGGCCAGGCCCGCAAAGGGCGTCCCAGCTAGGCCTTGGGATGGCTGCAGTGAGAAATCCCGGGAACTGTATTGACACAAAGATTCTTATTGCACTTGTATTTTTTTGTATCAAAGTTTGCATGGTTTCTAATAAAGGATTAAAACATAAGGTTTGTAGTGAAATGGCCTGGGAGATTCCAAGGGCTTCTCTGGAGGGGCATTGGCTGCAGTGCAGATTGCCCCCTGAGGATGCCCCAGACTTGGCCGCCTCAGGCCCCTTCCTGACCTCTGCCCTTCTCTGGTCCTGGTGTCCCTTGGAGCTGGAGAAGGTAGGGGTCTTGACTTAGGTTTGGATTTGATTTCCATGTGCAGGGAGACTGTCCCTGGGCCTGACACGTCCTTCCCCTTTCTGAGGCAGCAGTGCCTTAGGGAGGTTTGACACCACGTCCCCAGCTCTCCAGGCACACACCAGGAAACTGCAGGGTCTCACGGAGGAAGTGCTGCCTGAGCCCCAGGAACCAGCTTTCCTCCTCAGAGACCATGTGCAGAACGCTTCCGCTGTGCCTGAACACGAGGGAACCAGTGTTTTGTCAGCAGGAGGAAGGGCCTGCTGTGCTGAAACTAGAAAGGAAGCAGTAAGAGTCGGGTGGTCAGGAGACACCGCAGGGGTGACAGCACAGGCCGAGTACCTGCTGCCTCTGCTGCATATGTCCTGGGGTCATGAGGATGCTGAGGTTGATGACAGGCTCCAGGTCCTTTCACTCCTTTGACCAAGAGTTAGGGGGAAGGAGGTGGCCCAAGTGGAGTGTTCTCTAGGTGGGCTGCAGGAGTGGTCACGAGTTCTGAGAGGTCATCTGGTCATAGCTCCCTCAAAGGATCCTGCACGCCAGAGCACCCGAGAAGGCCGGGAGCAGAAGCCCTGTGTGATGTGTACTCCACAGCTGTTTGGGGTGGGATGTTTCTGTACTTCCCAATTTGCTTATGGCTCAGCCATTATCTGTGTCGGTCTGTGATTCTGTGTAACAGTTTTAAGAGTAAATAAAGCTGCCTGATGTCCCACCACACAGGCTCCACGCTTCTGTTTTGGTTTGCGTCTACCTCTCTGATCTTCCTGCCTCGGCTCACCCCCTTGCATCAAGGGACGGACTGGAATGTAGTGTGCACGTGATCTCCATGACCTTGGCATTCAGCCCCTCAGCTGTGAACTTGTGGATATGGCTACGGAAAGAACCACTGTGCCACACAGCCAGAGAGCTAAGGTCCAAGTGGGCCTCGGCCACCTGCAGAACTCTCCCCCCGTCTGCCAGGTAAAGAGCTACTCGACACTTACTTACTGTCCAAAAAACTGCAAGGCCAGTGACAGTTCTGACAGGCTCCCTGTGGTGGGTACCCAGAGCAGCAGCTGTGCCAGAGAACTCAGTTGGGCAACAGCACAGCTGCTTCATGCTCTTGACAAAGCAGGGAGGTTGTAACCCCCCCCTTTTTCTTTTCTTACACATTGCTACAAAGACGTGTCCAATCTAACCCCCTTCTTAAGACTTGGGGCCACAGCCAGCTCCTGTCCACAGCAATAAACATCTCTCCTCTCTCTCTACCTTCCTTCCTGTTTGGGGAACCGTGGCCCAGTGTACACAGGCCCTGAGAGAGGACCCACTAGTGGACAGCAGTGCTCACAAGGGATAAATAGAACTTTATTTTAAATAAACATTTGCACTCTGTACACAGCCCCAGCAGAAGGAGGGCTCAGTCATCAGCTGTCTTGCGCACGTCAAAGCTGCCACAGGGTCCTCGCAGCAGCTCTGCCAGTAGCGCAAGCAGCTGCCCATGCTCCTCCTGCACGCTGGGGGGAAGTGCAGCCAGCTCGCTGCGCAGGCTCCGCTCCACCATGCGGCCCAGCGCCCGCCGCAGCTCCCTCAGCAGCCGCACAGTGCGTGAGTCGCCCTCCAGCCGCAGCAGGTCACTATCGCTCAGTGAGATGGTGGCCCGGCGCCCATCATCTGAGGGAACAGAAAAGACGGTAGGGAGCTGTGGTGAGGCCAGGCCCCAGAGGAGCAGCTGCAGAGCGGGGCGGGCAGGAGGCCTGCAGGCACCCACCACGGATGTGCACGTCCCCGTCGGTCAGGAGCAGCACAGCTAGCGGGTGCACCTGAGAGGAGTCCCGGACGAAGACGCTGCCATTGGACTTGACCGCCATGAAATACGTCAGCCATCGGCTCCGTAACCGCGTGGCCTCCCTAGGGAACACAGGGCTGGTGAGGCCACTTTTTTGGACCATCCCAGCTGCCCCACCCAGGCCTGTATGCCCCTACCTGTTAATGGTCGACTTGTGTAGCAGGATGTTGCCTGATTTGGTCCTGTATGTGACACTGTTGGGCTTGAACTTCCCCTGCCGGGTGACCTTGCCCTGCCTCACCTGCAGGGATGGAGGAAAAGATGGGTGTGGCTGAGCAAGGAGCTGTAGACAGGGAAGGAGGCTGGAACCTGGTGAACACTCCCTCCCAGAGGCAGCACCTGGATGAGGTTGGGGTACAGGCCGGCCATCAGCACACCCTTCACCAGCTCCTCCTCCTCACTGTACTCATTGCACTGCGCGGAGGCCAGGGTGCAGTCCGAGGGCTTCCCCACCAGGAAAGCCTCATAAATGTTCTCCGAGAACTGCTTGATGAGTCCTAGGGAGACAGAATGTGCGGTGAACCTATAGCCCCTAGCCACAGGCTGAGGGTGACAGGAGTTCAGTGTGGGTGGGAGGGGTGGGAGGGGCTTAGGAGAGCAGGTGTGGGACCGGCTGACCGTGGATGAAGCGCAGGCTGGGTGCGTAGAGCAGGTTTTCCTCCAGGTAATTCTCCCGGGAGCTGCGATCCTGCCAACGCAGTACCTCCTCCCAGCCAGCGACAGCCCGCACAAAGGCCAGGTGGTCACTGCCGCTGTCGTGGCTCAACAATGCTTTCACCTGGGAGGGGAGAAGAGGGTAGCCCAGTCATGGGCAGGGGCTAGACAATGCTCCCTCAGGACACTAGTGGGTGGAGGGCTCCAGGAAGGGGCCGGGACTGACCTTGTCCACCTCTGCCCGGTTCTGCAGGCTGCTGCTGAAGGGGTCCCGGGTGAGGCAGGAAACGACCACCAACAGCGGGTGCAGGCAGCGGAAGATGGCAGCCAACACTATGGCCTTGGCCAGCCGGGGGTCAGTGGAAATGTGGGCCAGGCGCTGCCCTAGAGTGGTCAGGTACTCCCGCTGGTCCAGCACCCCTGCAATGGCTCAGCTGTCAGTGCCACCCTCGAGGGCCACTCCCCAGCCCAGCTCAGCCCAGTCCAGCCCCCACACACCGATCTCCTGGAGCAGGATCACAGCCTCGTCCACTGCTTTGATGTTTGGACTGTCCACAGCCTTGGACAGGAACTCCACCGCCTACAACCAACAGAGCCAGAGCCCGCCATGAGCCCGCCTCCCACCTGCCATGAGCCTGCCCCCCCCAGGACAGCCCCCGCCCCACCGCACCGTCTTCTCAGGCATGTGGATTTTTGCTTGCAGCACCAGGTTTTCAAGAGGCGTGCGCAGGATCTCTGGCACTTGGAAAGGGACCATTTTCTCCAGCCGACTTCTCGGGAACAAGTGGTAGGCAAAGCCTGACTGGCAGCGGCCTGCCCGGCCCCGGCGCTGGATCACATTGGCTCTTGACACCCACACTGTCTCCAGGCAGGACACCTGGGGGAGGGGGCAGGTAAGCAACAGACAGATGCCACTTCCTCAGCGCTTCCTCCCTCCCTGAATAACCCTCACCACTCCCCCATGACAGGGACACTGAGACCCCACAAGCATGGCCTTCTTGAGACACTTTCAGGTCTAACGTAGAGCTGGGCTGGGGACCACCTCAAAACCAGAGTCCCTCCCCTTGGGCCCAGGAGGTAGGTGCCACCTTGGTCTTCAGGTCATAGCGTTCCTCCTTGTGCAGCCCACTGTCCACCACGTGCACAATGTCATTGATCGTGATGGAAGTCTCAGCAATATTGGTGGCCAAGACAATCTTGCGCACCCCAACTGGAGGCTGCTGGAATATGGCCTTCTGATCCATCATGGGGATGTTGGAGTGCACTGGTGGGCAAGACACACACTGGTAATGGGCACTGCTTCCACCATTCCACCAGAACTTCCCCGGGCATGCGGGCAGGGCAAGGATTCTGACCCCGTTTGATGAAACAGGCGCAGATAAACACTGTCCAGTGAAAAATGCCACAGTGTGGTCATAAACCAGGGCCCCTGGAGTCCCAGTTGGGTCAGTCCCCAGACAAAGGCCAGGCCAGTTTCCGAAGGTTCCTGGTCCCTCCACCCGGGCTCTCACCTGGCAGGATGAGGTACTTGCTCTCGTGCATGCCCAGGGCCTCCTGGAGGCGCTGCTGCACTCCTTTGATCTCCTGCCACCCAGGCAGGAAGCACAGGATTCCACCTGTAAAGGAGCCCTGTGGCATAAGCGGGCTGCTGCTCCAAGTGGAGCTGGGGCGGGCACAGGGCAGATGAGGAGGCACCCACCTGGTTCCCCACGGGCATCAATGTGCAGAACCAGATCAGTCACGAGGTCCAAATCGAGGGCGCATTCATCCTCAGACTGGGGTGGGGGAAGAGAGGCCACAGTCACAGCCCCGGGGTAAGGGGTCGTGCCAAGGACACAGCCACCTGACTCAGTGAGACGGAGCCGCTTGACATCAACTCCAGTCCTCACATGCGTGCCACGCAGGCAGGGTTAGTCCCCAGTTTTCTATCAAGGAAACCGAGGATTGGGGAGGGTAACTTGCCCCAGGCCACCAAGCCCCAGGGCCAGGGAGGAGGGGCATCCACGGAGGAAAGACCAGGAGCCCTGGGTGGGATGGGGATGTCCCTCACCTCGTGGTGCCGGTGCCGGTGCAGGTACTGGTGCTTGCCCAGCTTGGCCAGGATGTCCTCCAGGTAGTGCTCCTTGACCGGGTACATGAAGCCAGGCACCTTGATAACGGGGCAGCCACCAAAGTATCGGGAGAAGCGCTCATTGTCCCCTGTGGCACTCATGAGCACCAGCCGCAGGGCCGGGTTGAGCCGCTGCAGGCCCTTGAGCAGAATCAGCAGGAAGTCTGTGTTCACGTCCCGCTCGTGCACCTCATCCACGATGACGTGGCTCACGCCCTCCAGGCTGGGATTGCTCTGCAGCTTGCGCAGCAGGATACCCACGGTACAGAAGAGCAGGGCCCCGCCTCGGGCCGGGGGCTTACTTTCCAATCGCACCTGGAAGCCCACGTTCCGGCGCAGGGAAGGGCCCAGTTCGTGGCTAACCCGCTGCGCCACAGACACAGCAGAGATGCGTCGAGGTTGGGTGATGATCACATTGCAGCGGGCACCGCGGCCCTCGGTCACATAGCGTTCCAGCAACAGCTGGGGGATGCGCGTGGTCTTCCCACAGCCCGTGTCCCCAGAGATGACCACCACCGGGTGCTGCTCAATGGCATTGAGGATGGTGTCCCGATGTGGGTCCACAGGGAGTTGGGGGGCCTCCTGCCAGACTGGTCCTCGCCGCCGCCACAGTTCTAGCAGGCTCTGGCTGAGACGCACCTCCTCTGCTTCCAACAGGGGCACATAGGGCTTGCCTGTGATAGGGTCGCTCAGAGGCCCTGAGTCCTTGCCCAAGGGCAAGATATCATCACTCTGCAGCCGGAGTTCTGGAGCGATCCATGAACTGTCCACAGGGTACTGGGGGGCAGGGAGGCAAGCAAAACAATGAAAAGAAGTTCCTCACTGTGACACACAACCAGCCACTCCTCAGGATTCACCTGGGTAAGATGTTGTGGCCCAACCCGCTGGGCAGAGGATTAATTTAGTCCATGACTGCCCCGGGATCCATGTGGGCAAGACTGGGCTGCTCAGGCCGGGGGGCTCCCAGGCCCCATCCTCAGTGAGGAGAATGGGGAGGTACTACTGCCTGTCGCAGGTGGAGGACTTCTGTCTAAAGAAATGGAGGTAGACTACAGCGGGAAGTGTGGGGAGGGATACGGGGCCTCTTACATGGTTCAGGAAGGTCTCTATCTTGCGGAGGATGGGC